ATATTCTAATGGTTTGCTCTGTCAGTGTGGGTGGAAGTCTTGGAGAGATCCCTTAGTTGGGCTGTTAAATAGAGCAGCTGGTTAGTATGGAAATGTGTGGTAATGTGTGTATATTTGTTAGAAGTTGCTGGGTGAAAGCTACAGGTGGTGAAGTTTTCTGCTGGGTGAAAGTTGCTCCCCCGCCCCACCTGAAAGGAAGGAGTCCCTAAATATTGTTCTTAACACATTTCCTCTTATCACAGGTGGCAAGAATGCTAACGGACAGCTCTTGTAGCATACAAATATAAAAAGGATATAGTTAGTAATTCTGTACTGAATCATGGGTTACTCCCTGTGATTCCTTAAGGATTTTTGAGGGGTGCCTGGTGGAGCCATGTTTTGGAAGGGCAGGGATGCAGTCATTTGCAATTAGTCATGACCTGATGATTGATATTGTCAGCTAGTAGAATGTACAATGGTTACTCATCGGTGTACAAATGGGTACCTAATTCTGGAAAGTCCAAAATGCCAAGTGTTAGAAAACAAGTACTTATTATGAAATAACTTGGAATAATTGGACTTCCTAAAAATTTTTTTGTCAGAAATTATGAACATGGTATCATGCTGGATGCAGCTATTAAGAGGATTGATGAATTCCATCAACTGGTTAAATCATACACACACACACACACACACAAGGATGGAAGAAATATATAAGCTATAAAAATTTCAATATGATTTATTTATGAACGCTTCTTGATATCACCTTTAAAAATCTTTGCTTGGTAATGTTTTTACATTGCATTTCTACTGAAATGCCATCTGGGTGAATTGTAACAATATGAAAATATTAGTTTAAGCCACTATTTAAAAAAAAAATAGGGAAAACCTAAATTTGAAAGATGTCTTCATCTTTTTTTTACTTCAAAAGTATATACATGCTTCCATTGAAACATCTTAAACAGAGTCCCTTCAAACTTTATTATTCTATGTTCTTTGTTGTCAAATCTCTCCTTGAAAACCTCCTGTGTTGGAGCACCCACAACTTCTGATGGCAAGCCATTCTACTGGATGATTGTTCTCACAGTCAGGAAATTTCTCCTTAGTTCTCGGTTGCTTCTCTCCTTAATTAGTTTCCATCCATTGCTTCTTGCCCTGCCTTCAGGTCCTTTGGAGAATTAAGTTGATCCCATCTCCTTTGTGACAGCCCCTTAGAAATTGGAACACTATAGAGTATTAATACTTTATAGCAATTAATATAGTATAGTAATATAGTAATAATATAAAATAGTAATATAGAATAGAAAGCCCTTTCTAATTTATGCCTTGCAAGGAGTTAACTAGGAATTATAGTGCCTGACTCTAATAATTAACAAGGGTCATTTTGAAAAAGGTAGTTTGTGGAATCGTTAGCTTAGGGCTTAAACAAAGATTTGCAATTAAGTCTAGAAATAATTGGACTAGACTGGGACTAATATGGCTGTTACTACATTGTCATGAATCATTAAACAAGGAAGAAAGGGACTGGCCAGTCAAATGTTTCTGAGGCATCATGTGAAAGTTATAGTTAGTCTACATCATTTACCAATAAGAGGTTTGTTTGTTTTTCTGTTTTGCCTTTGAGTCATACTTGGTTCCTGGAGACTACAGGGGCCAGGCCATGCAGTTATTCAGGCAACAACGTCAGAAGTATTTGTCTGAGAGCTGAGAGAAAGTGACCAGCCTGAAATCATCCAATTGGCTCCTGTGCTTAAAGGAAAGCTAGTCCAGCCACTTAACCACTAGACCAGACCAGCTCAGTGTGATCCATTTTAATTATAGAAATTCCATTGCAGCTGTGCTGTGTAATAACGTGAACATTATTTAATGGGCTAGCAGTATCAGACTTATTCTCTATAATTATATTTAAAGCCTAAGGACTCCTAATTTGTGATTTCACATCTAATCTAATTTATTGGACAACTAAATAATTCTATTCCTATTCCTATTCCTATTATCTATTCTATTCTATTCTATTCTATTCTATTCTATTCTATTCTATTCTATTCTATTCTATTCTATTCTATTCTATTCTATTCTATTCTACTCTACTCTACTCTACTCTATTCTAAAGCCAACAGTTCCATAATAATGGCTTTGTTGTTCTAGATTACCTTTTTCCAGGTTGTGCCATTAGGGAAGGACCAAGCAGTGTTTCCAAACATTTAGAGACCTTAAGACAAGCTTACTCAGGAGCAAATAGAAGCACAAAGTAATTACAATCAACTAGGGATATTGTCCAAAATAATGCATCTTAAAATCCAGACTCTGAAGCTTTTTTAAAAAAATAGTTCCTAATTAAGGAAAAATAGCCCAGAGTTGTTAGCAGTTGGACAATATACAATGTACATTATACAAATTGTATATTTGTGAACATGGAGGACTACATCCATATTTATATCTGTCTGTCTATATCTATCTGTTGGGGTCCTTGGGTCCAGTAAACAAGCACACACATACACACAGGACCCAAGGTGCAGACTGCACAACCAACTAGCTGCACCTTCCTATATACAGGAACATCTGCATGGTGTGTGGACTAGATCCTCCCAAGTCCAGATGAAGATTTCCACAGAAGGTCATGGAGAATTAAGAGGGCTAAGGTCCTGTGGAACTTCTGGATCCCGATGGACAAGGCAGGTACTGGCTAATCAATAGCGGACTTAGACACCACTTCATAATGCTTCACAGCCCTCTCTAAGCGGTTTACAGAGACAGCATATTGTCCCCAACAATGTGGGTCCTCATTTTATGGACCTCGGCAGGATGGAAGGCTGAGTCAACCTTAATCAACCAGACATTGTGGTAGAAGTCAAAAGCTAGAAGACATGATGGCGATGGATACAGCAGTACTAAGTGATAGCAACATCTGGGAGAATGAGAAATATGAGATGCTGGAAGAGTATCTGGGCCTGAAGGAGGTACTAGAGGGAATGTGGAAATTAAAGGCAAAAAGTGATACCAATGGCAGCAGGAGCACTTGGGGTTGTGACTCCTCAGCTGGGAGAGTGGCTCCAACAGATGGCAGGAACAATAGTGCTTTGTGTATTTCATGTCTCAGCGAATATTGAATAAGGGTTGATTGCATTTGCCTTCCTGCTGGAGATGCAATTAAGGAAATGAAATATTAATTCATGTGGTTTCCATTTGCCCTATTAGTGCAACCTTTGGGGCTTCATTTGAATAATTAATAGAATAATTAATATGACCTGTTGCATATGAAACATACATATATTCTTAGTTATACATGTAGTCCTCAACTTAAACCATTCATTACAGTGGCCCTGAAAAACAAATGACCTATGACTGTTTTTCACACGTATGATTGCTACGGCATCCCCACAGTCACGTGATCAATATTTGGACACTTGGAAACTGGCATATATTTATGATGGTTGCAAAGTCTTGGTTTCCTGTGATCACCTTTTGTGAAAACCAATGGGGAAGTCAGATTCACTTAACCGTGTTACTAACTTAACTGCACTGATTCACTTAATAACTGAGGCAAGAAGGGTCATAAAATGGGGCAAAACTTACTCAAGTGTCTTGTTGAAATGTTAGTAAGACTATTTTCATTTGCATTTAGTATATTTTAATAAATATCACTGCTGACAGTACCGGTTGCAATTGAATATTCTAATTCACATCAGGCTTCTTTAAAAAGAGTGTTAGCTTCAACTGTTTATTCATTTCAAAAGAAAGTCTAAATCATGATACATCACAATCACAAAGCAAAGCTGTTGCATCTTTAACAGATTAACAGAAGGGACCTTATAGTTCATCTAGTCCAAACCGCCCCCCCAAGCAGGAGGCTCTACACCATTTATGACAGGTGGCAGTCCAGTTTCTTCTTGAAAGCTTCCAGTGATGAAGCTCCCACAACTTCTGAAGGCAAGCTATTCCATGGGTTGATTGTCCTCACTGTCAGAAAATTTGTCCTTATTTCCAGGTTGAATCCCTCCTTGATCAGTTTCTATCCATTATTCCTTGTCTGGCCTTCAGGTGCTTTGAAAAATAGCTTCACCCCTTCCTCCTCTCTGTGGCAGCCCCTCAAATATTGGAACACTGCTATCATGTCCCCCCTGGTCCTTTTCTTCACTAGACTAGCCATACATCTTGACACATGCTTTTTGTTCCTGGATAATTACTATTAATGTGATATGTAGAAATAAGAACAAGTTTCAGTATTTTCCATGTCTGTAACCACTGTAAAATGGTAAATATTTGTGTAAATATTCGAATTACCGTATGCATTTTTACAGGGGAGCGGAGTGCAATTACTCAGCAGGTAAAGGCGCTGAGCTTGTCAACTGGCAGCCGGGGTTCAAGAGCTGAGCGCCATGCAACGGAGTGAGCTCCCATCACTTGCCTCAGCTCCTGCCCACCTTGCAGTTCGAAAGCATGCAATTGCCAGTTTATAAATAGGTACCCCCTCGATGGAAAGTTAACAGCGTTCTGTGTACCTTGGCATACAGTCATGCTGGCCACGTGACCAGGAAAGTGTCTTTGGACAATGCAGACTCCCTCAGCTAAGAAATGGAGATGAGCACTGCTCTCTAGAATTGGACCTGAGTGGACAGAGTAAACCTTTTTTCCTTACCTTTTTATTTTTACAGATTCTTGATCTCTTGAAGCAAGATGAGATCTGGGCTGCAAATATCTAGAAGCCGACTAGATTGGGAGCAGGGTAGCATGGCTTGTATCCTTTGCTGCTATCTGACGATGTTCTTGGTTTTGGCAGCCTGTGAATTCTGGACCCACTTTGGCTACAAAGCCATGTGAGTAATCTTCGGACAGTCATTTGCTCTTAGCCTTAGGAAGGAGGCAATGTAAAACCACTTCTGGAAAACCTGCCCAAGAAAACTGCAGGAATTGTCCAGGCGGTCTCCAAAAACTGGACACAACTGAATGGAAATATTAATTTAAAAAAACCCTGTGGTGTGATTTTTTTTAACTTTCAGAAAGCTTAATG